GGCATTTTAAACTACTGACAAACCTTTTTTGTTTGTTTTGCATTTAACACACACAAATAAACCCCCCCTCCACCCACCCACACAGCCCCCTTGCCCGCAGCTCCTACCCGCAGCCCTGCTCCCCATGCAGCCCGTGTTGCCATCACAGGCGGGTGGGGCAGATCCTCATGTGGACAGCAGCACCAGGCGTGTTTGAAGCCCAAGAGCATGCTGCTTCCTCAGTGCCGGCAGGTCTCATCAACTTCCTGTGGCCACCGGAGAGAAGCTGCTTTTGCAAAGGTGCCCGGCAGAGGAGAACGTTCCTCATGTGGCACCTTACCCCACCCATGTACAGCCCAAAGTCTACGTAGCAGCCCCGGCGCTCAGGCCTCTGTTGTGTGCACAGCGTTCCCATGGCAGCAGCAGCACAGTAGGAGCCAATAATGGTCCCTTTGTTGCTGAGCACGTTGCCCCATGACTGCTCACTGGCAACCGGCTTCCCCCTCCCTCTGCTTGCTGGGACCTGTAGTCTGTTGCAGGTTTGGGGCATGGGTACTGGACTATGCTCACCAGGGTTGTTCAGGCACATGGCCATAATTGTCAGCTACAACAACCAAAAAAAGCTAATAGCCAGTAACGTCATTTCTCTTTTTATTAATGCCAACCTGATAGCCAACCAATATGTCAGTGCACCCCATATTAAATGGACCTCTTTCAAAACGAAGCATTTCCAATGCTAACCCCTTTCCTTTGTCAACAATTTAGTAGTTGCTCACCCTCTTCATTGCCAATGCCATCTCTATATGATCTTAAGTTTTCTTTGGTGTTCAAGTTGGTAGACTGAACAAGATATGGAATCACCCATAATGCCACCCACACTCCAAACAAATTCTCTCTTCTATACTATATTCCATCTTGAAGGCCATACACTTACAAAATCTTGACTTTCTTTTGCAACCATTACCATAATCAACCTGTTTATGATAGGCTTCATTTCTGTCACCAAGTCCCCCATTCTTACAATTAGTATGACAGCCATGATGTTTCTACTAATGTGTCTATTGGCCAAACAAAATAACCAGATTTCCCTTTCACTGGCAAATGGAAAGGACACAACTGGAAACTGATCCTGACCCCTTCCCCCCAACACCCCCCAAAAAACTGGCTCCTCCTACCATGAACATGTGGTATGGCAGGAGGCACAGTAGTTTCGGAATCAAGGATCAGATCCTATAGTGCCTTTAAATTAATATGTGCCAGAGACCTCAGAGCAGTGTCTGCTCTGGGTAATGACCTATGCATAGTAATTTAAAACATGCAATAAGGTATCCCTTCAGCCATTACTGGAGCAGGACAGCACAAAGAACTCATCTACTAACATACATTGGTATGAGGTAATGATTGGATATCTACCCTGTAAGATGATTGATCAGGGAGAAAAATAATTAACTCCTTTATAGATTTCCCCATTTCCTTATATGATATTTCTCCCTTTCAAGTTACTACAGCTTTTATGGTAAATTCTAACAGCCAGAAGTTAGCTAAGAAACTGAGGAAGCAGCTTTCCTGGCCTTTTCATGCTATGCATTAAATTATGCTCCCTGCAAGACAGGAGGAGTTACAGCTCAGCTGATTTTGCTTACGAGCAAACTTTGCTCTACTTCCTCTCCTATTAACTGTAATGCTTAAGGCTGACACTACAGGAAGCACAATAAATGTGAGGAGTCTGAGTCGTCACAGAATCAGCATAGATCAAACAGGTATAGTGGGGGAAAATATTACAAGAACGAAAATGAGAGAAATTTCTCTTTCCCCGCCTAGCTTTTATTCTACATTCTGAATGGAGGTACAGGGAGAGTTCCAATAATTATGGAGAGAATGGGCTCCTGCCAATACAGACCCTCAGAGCCTGAAGATATGAAGCCAGTTAGCTCTGGGTTGTTTTGTTTTGGGTGTTGTTTTTTTAATTATGAGTAAACTTTTTTGAAAGGATGACCTGTTCTGCACTAGTACAGCTGCACACGCAAGACCTAAAACCAATGCCAGACCTCTCCCGCCACTGACTGACTGACAAGCCCAGACTGTCTCAAGCAATGCAGGCTGCAGAGTAAAAAGACACCAGTGTCATAAATCTGTGGACCTCAAAAATAAGATTCACAAAGAAACCCCTTTTGCCTCCTCAAAAAATAATGCCAGCTTACCACCCCAAGTGAAATTGCTGAAACCCTTATGAAAGATAGTAAATTAATGTCACTTTACTGTCAGATATACACCATAAACCTCAGGTGGCAGTTTGTAGTAACTGATCAGCAGGGCAGCCTTCCATCTCAATTCAACAGGTGTAAAGGGAGCAAGAAAGGGGCCCAAGGAGTCATCTTTATTTGCCAGATTTTCAGAGAGCAGAAGCCTCAAATTCTTTGTTTGGCACTAACCAAGCTGAAATAACATGTGAAAAGCAAGCCACCCCTGTCCATTATTGAAAGATGGTCCAGAGTTGAAGAGGTGTCCTACTTAAAGAATAAGTTAGCCTCAAATTACAGAGCACATTAAAACCAAGTACATCTTGTAGTATACTTTAAACTTCTCCTGGATTGTTGGTCAATTTAGTAGTTGAAGAACTATAATTAGAGATAGAAAAAAAATGAAAAAGTTGATATGCCAACTACCAAAAAGTTTAGAAAATAGGGATTTAAGCTAGACTAATAAACTATTTTGTCATATTGAATGAAATAGTTTGAATGTTTGTAAAGGTTGCCCATTAGCCAGTTTCAGGAAGAAGATAGGATTTCTCCCCTTATCTAGCTCATTGTTTTGGGTCTACGTGAAAAATGTCCTGACTTCGCTTAATTTAAATTGTATCTTTAGAAGTCTTTTACAAAGAAAGCAAATATCCTGAGTTCCGAGACATCAAAGCCTAGGGCCTTTTAACCAGACTGGTAAAAAAAAAAAAAAAGCTATTTACAGTGATATGGAAGAAGTCTCCCCAAGAGTAATTTAAAATGCTCAACAAAGGTAATTTCTGTTGAGTAAGATCCGAGCCCAAATTTGGGAGTAGTGACAAATTGAGTAGGAGGAGCCCACTGACGGCAGCTCACTCAATAAAAACCTGTAACTTACTGTCCCAATTTGGAGGTGACTTCACTTGCAGAACAACGAAGGAAGAATCGCAAGTGTAGCCCGGACCAGACTGATCACCTGACCCAACCTCTCCGTGAACACGAATCTCTTAGTTCACGCTGAAGCCGCGGAGCGCCCGAAAGGGACTGAAGGAAGGGGACTTAGTCCTATCACTGCTGAGCCCAGCTCATTGAATCGTATTGCTGAGGCCAGCCTATTGAACCGTACTACTGAGGCGAGCCCATTGAACCGTACTACTGAGGCCAACCCATTAAATTGTACTACTGAGGAATGAAACCATATTTTGGTGTTTGGCTTCTCGGAATTCTAGGATTGTAAGTATATTATGAAAAATAATAGTATTGATTCAAATTTAACTTTTAGTTGTAATTGTAGCTGTTTTTGTAACACTAATTCTTATAGCATTGTTTGGGAAGGAAGTGCATTCGGAGCATTGTTTCTGATATATGCAATTATTGTGTTTTTAATGTTTGTGGTGTTTCTTAAAGCTAAGCAGTGTTATATACAAAGCAAAGAGTTTTGAAATAAAATTGTGTTGTATGAATTAAGTGTGTAATCATTGTGAAATCGTGCAATCAGCTAACTACTCCCCCAGCCAGTGCATCAAAACGAATCAGTAAATTGTGTGGGATTTTCTCTATTCCATAACCCACTAGAGACATATTTTGCTATACGTTTTTGAGGAAATAATTTTGAAATGACTTGTATGACTGATTAAGTCCCCTGCACAACCAGAGTCTGGAGTTGCTCTATTATGATAAGCAGAATAACTTGGCAAACATCCAAGAAGCAAGACAGCTCTGAGCAAAGGGATACTAGTTTTGCTTTGCTTTGCCTCCCAAACTCATCTTTCTTGAGACAGAGTAGCCACAAGAGGTTTGGCAGGCATGGATAAGAAAAAAAAATTGATATCTAGTCAACTTTGTTACAAGGTTATTCATCTGCCTTTTAGACTAATACATTAATTCAAACTGCTCTTTTCTGAGCTACTTTCAGTACCTGGCTTGAGCAATCAAAGGATGTAGTCTCATATGCAAATTAATAAGAGAAATTAAGAACTGCTCTTTTAAAAAAATTAGTTAAAACATGATAGGCTAATCAGACTTATTTTGATACTGAAACCTTTTGGTATAGCTAAATATAAAATAGCCACCTATAATTATAGAACAACACATCAATTATTTTTACTTCATAACTCAAAGTTTTAAATGTTAACAAATCGTTCTCTTCTGTCCTAGCCCCATCACTTGTGGACAAACAGCATCATTCCATCACAGCAGAATAACTTACAAAATACTGCTCAGAATTCCACAAAAAAATAAGCTGAAGAAAGTTTTTACAAACGGAAAAAAGAGTGGCAGAAAGAGTAAGATTCAGCATCCAACTCATATTCCAGCAGAGAGAATACTGCATCTCCTAATAGTTTAAGAGTAGGGTTCACAGTTCTATTACATATTTGGGGCCCTCTCTTAGAGCAGGAGATGTGGATAAACCATTCCAAAAGTAGTTGCTCTTGATACTTTTACTAGTAGGTGCTCCTGAATTTAAGTTTTATGGCCTGTTCGTTTATATGATCATGTCTAAAATAAATGTGACATTTCTCTGTGATATAAGACAACAAATGTGTTTGGATGTGTAGTTCATGAACATACCCACTAAATAAAAATGGATCAAATGAATCGTTCAGTAAAGAACTACAGAACATGATATACTTACAGCAAAAATCATGTTATACTCAATGGGTACAAAGCCTATGGTTCTCATTTCTTCAAAATAAAGATATAAATTATTAAAACTTCATTTCATTTACTGTCCATTTTCTTTGAAATAACATTTTAGCATCTCTCTAATATGAAGCCTAATATAGCTATTAAATCATTTACCTTATTTCGTGTTTTTACTTTCAATTTAGTCTTCTGCTTCCGTTTCAGTTTTTTCTTGCTTAAAATTTTCTTACCCCTAAAAAAGAAAAAGGGGAAATTCATGAGAAAAAGCAATTTGAAACTGTCCCATTGCAATCACAACCCCAAGGTAATTAGCAGCACCAGGAGGAAGGAATTTGTTTTTGTGAGCCTTCATAAGTGTTCCGTAAGCCAATGGCATTCAACACTTTGGCCCTATGGGCCAGATAAATGGCATGGGGCCACTTCGTGGGCCAGACTGGGCCCCATACACTGAGATCAGGGCCCTGTGCTGGTGGCCCCCCACCCCATTAAGATCAGTGCCCAGAGGTACCGTTCCCAAGCCTCCAAATTTTCAGACCTATAGGGAGCCCTGCTGGCCAGATGAGACAAAGCTGAGGGCCAGATCTGGCCCATGGGCTTGAGACTGAGCACCATGGCTCCAAGCCAAGGGTCAGTAACCTACAGTCCACAGACTAGATTCAGCTAGCAGAACCACTGGATCCAGGCTGTGGATATAGTGCTTTGGCAGTGTTTGGCAGAAGGAACTTTTCCCTGTGCTGCGGAGGGGTAAAGCGGCAGCAGTTGGCCAAGTCCTAATGTCTTCCTACTTCTGATTCAAACTGGGGCATTTGGCCTGCAGTCCTGAAAGTCTGCCACTCGCTGATCTAAGCAATGAATAACAACTACAGCTGTAAATACAAAGAATGCACCAATGGTCTCTAAAACAGAGTTGTTAAACATAAGGCCCCACAAGCTGGATGAGGCCTGCAGAATCTTATCAGCTAGCCTGCAGGGCAGCTCACGTGTCTCAAGCTGGATCCAGCTCTGCACGCTACACACAGCACCCTTTTCTTCGAGTCCAGTGCCATGCCATCTTGTCACAATACCAACTGTGCCGAATCTACAAGCACCCCTGGAGTCCAGACATAACCCCCTCCCCCCCAAAAAAAACAAACAAAACCCCCCTGTATTTTCTCACATATAGCACACACCTTTCCCCACCCAAAATCAGTTCCCCAAAATGTAGGTGCATGTATTAAGTGAGGAGGCTGCTTTTTGGCAATAATATAATCACCCTGCTTTCATCCCTGCTCCAAAATCAGCAGCTACTGTATTACTTTTCAGGCAGTTAACGAGAGGTCAATGGCCCACTGTCCTTCACTTCACAGGTATTAACGATCATCTCCCCTTTTAACAGTCTTGAAGTTCCACTAATGAAGCTAACTTTTCCTAAGGGAATTTTGCTGTCTGCTAGGGCTTCTGATATCTTCTACTATTTCACAGCTCCTTAGCTCTTTTCAAGATTAGAGGTTCTCCTATGGAGAACAGTCGTTAGCAGCAGCTAAGGTTTCAGTTAACAAGAAAGGACAAGTCAACAAAAGATTAGGCCCTGTCCTTTCACTCTGCAGCCATAATTCTAGAAAAAAGTTTTCTTAATAATGCCTTTCAACAGCAAGGTCTGTATTATATTTGGGGGTGTGTTACATGCAAGACAACATAGTACGAGGGGAAAAAAACCACAAAACAGCTTCACAACTGCAATATCATGTAGTGCCACATCATAATAAGAATAGAAAAAAAGCTTACGAGACAGGAAATATTCAGCAGACAAGGTTCTTTGGGTAAATGTGATATCTTTTATTAGCTGGAAAAAACGTTCTTTGCAAGCTTTTGGGCACAAACACCCTTCTTCAGACATAGGGAGAGTTACATCTTCAGCAATACTCAAACAATTTGCCCACACAATGAAAAGCCGGACAGGATTTGTGCATAGGATATCAGCATCAGCCTGTATGTCTTCTCAGGCTGAAGACTGATACCCAAAAGTACAAACTGCAAGCATGACCGCTGCAATTTTAATAATATTCACCTGACAGGAAGAATTTGTACTACATAAGAACCAGAACCAAACCCTTTCGAAATGGTTCTGCTACAGGCTAATCTTCAGTCCTTAAAACTACTCAGCAGCACCATAAAACACTAGTAAGCATAATTAAACTGGCTTTTATAACAAGGTATTGATATTGCAGGTTTTAGGATATACCAAGGGATGTACCCTACTTGTGATTTTGCCTTTTTCATGGAAACTGCAAAAAAAAAAAAAGCAGTTTCTGCAAACCCCACATGAATAGAGATGCCCAAAAGTTTTGCACAGAATCACTCCCTCCGCCAATGAGTAGCAAATGTCATAGCTGCACGATGGCCACTCAGCAGCAGCAGTGGAGGAGAGAGGGGGAGAACACCTGCAAAAATGTTGTGTATGCCATGAGTGGCCCACGATTTTTTCTTTCGCCTCAGTGTGATTTAGGTAGATCCCTAGATATAGCCAATGTATTTTTTTTTGTTCCTTCCCCAGTGCTGGGCACTGCCATCTTGTAAAAGTTAACAGTTCACATCTAACTTCTGTCCCCTCTACACTTAAAATAGAGACCTCTTTCTGTAACAACAGATCTCATAGGATTTGCAGCAAATCTGCCAACCACTCCACTTTTTTCAGTTACCACTCTGGTTTTCTCAAGCAAGCCACCATCATCCTTCTGCTGCGTGCTCAAAATAGCAAACTCATCTCAGTAAGCTTCTCTGACACCTGCTCCTCCTGTCCCAACATTACACACTCTCCTTCAGCAATGCTACATATTCTTATGCCAACTGCACCATGTTGAAAAAAACAATATCATAAACTTGTCTCAGAGTTGAGATTTCTGTTGGCCTACATCAGCAGCTCTCAACCTTTTAGATCACTAAGCCAGGAGCAAGGAGGCTACATAGTAGAGCAACACTCCCCTCTGGTTGGGGGATGGAGGAGGCGGCCACCAATGTCAAAGGGAAGAGAGGAAGGGCAGGGAAACTAAACAAAACAAAACAAAACAAAACTTATCTCCAGCAACAACTGCCTACCTAGTGAAATGAGGAGGGAGAAAGAAAAGGAGGGAGTAAAGCAGGAGTGGGGGGGCTGTATAGGGAACCAGCAACATGGGGCAGGGCGGGAAAGGGGGTGCACCAGGCCAAGCTGCTTGCTGCCAATCCCTCCATATAGCATGACAGTCCCATTCATTTCAGGGGCCAGACCCAGCCCGCAGGGTGAAGGTTGAGCACCACTTATCTATATAATACATTTTGATCAAGCAAGTGATTCAGCTCATTAACACAAGTTTAATCGCCAGTACAAACCTTACCAAGGCACTTTTTATTTTTTGGTACAAGCCTACTAAAAATTACGCTGCAGTAAGCAAGACTCTAGTTAGTTTATACATATATTAAAAAGGCACTAAAACTGACTGCAAAACAGAATATTGGCATAGCAAGCTAAGCGTGTGCACAGGGGATATTAAAACATTATTTTAGATGCAGAAAGTGCTCTGACAGGACTCTAGCACTGTAAAGCAGAGCTGCCTTCTTTGGTTTCCAAATAGGCAGCTATACCCTTCCAGCCATGTAGAACCTCAGGCAATACCATTTTGATTAACAGCAGAAATGACTCCTTTTACTTTCTGGAAACCACCAGCTTTCTTGTTCCCACAACATTAAGACTTTCTATAGAACCATGGGTGCAAATCACTAGACCAGCCTCAACAGGACACATCTCCAATAAAAAGCCCTAATACTGCAGTTAATAAGTACCCTGGCCCTTATTAAGAAAGGGATTTAAGCAACTTGATGAACAGGTATTGGATTCTTCGAAGTAGGCACATAAAAACCATCCCTGATAAATGAAAATTGCAAGGAGCAAATTAAGAGACTGTGTCTTGCAGGCTGCTCAAAGTGTCCTAAAGGCACAAAACTTCTACTTTCTAACTTTCCACAGGGGCTACTCCATTGCTCTCATGGATGATGTGCATCATACCAATTCAAGACACATCTAATGCCTGCCAGCCTCTACCCTTAAATTTAGCATTTGTCATCTACTCTTCAATATTCTAAAGGCACATCCCACTATCACCCTGCAGGTGCTATAACAGTAGTTATGCAGCTATGTACAAGTTACATGTCAACTGGCTTGCAGAGCCGCAGACATCTAATGACAAATGTAAAAACACAAGCGCAAATCATTGCATGTTCCCAAAGTACAAGTAAAGGTCTGTTAAGAGCCTGAAAATAGTACTAAGCACTGGGAGAGGTAGATTGTGAGATGGCAATGAGAGAAAGCAGAAGATACTTTAGACATGGACTATAATGACCTCTGGTTAGCTTCTGTTACACAGCTTCATCCAGTAACAACAAATACAAAAACCAACCCACATTGCACAGGGCCTGGCACAGCACAAAAACACAGAATACTTGCCTACAAATTTGAACATGTACATTGGAGGCTAAGTTCAGCATGGGACATCACTGAGCATGTGCATAGCATGAAAACCATTGTGGGCATCAATCACAAGGTAAGGTATGGCTGATGTTTATGCCCTTAGGATGCAATTATATAATAAACACAGCCAATTACATTACTTAATATAATCATTCTTGTGGGGAGGGAGGGGAATTACAGGTATAGGTACGTACTTACACACACGTAATATATTTGCAGTAAAAGAGGTGGCTAGGGGAAGAGATGTTAAAAGACAAGTTGGTTTGACATTTAGGTACTAATATGCTAAGGAGTAAGGTTTAAGAACATTTTAAGGTATTTGCGCTTAATGTATACCCACTTATTATATACCACTTTAAAGCTTACAGTGTAGGTTTCCAAAACATTAAAAAAATCCCAAAAGTCTGAAAAAAATTGAGAAATGAGTAAAACAAGGGGGCCTCAAAAAAGGATTTCAGAAGATAACCCATGCATGTGCACCACCTGTGAACTCACGTGTCTACTAGTAGAGCAAGGAGGGAGAAAGGAAACAAGGTGGCAGGCAATTAGCTCTTCAGTCCACTGTGAGACTTCATATGAAGCTGCAATTCTTTGCCTCAAAAGCAATACTATGATGCTATAAAATGAGGACATAATTGCTAAAATTATTGGAGCACACTTAAGTATAGATAGTGTAGACACTGAACATGGTAATGAAAATACCTGATATTTGATGGAGTTTCTCAACAGTTTGTCACTAAATAGTTTGCCTCCCTACAGGCTGAAAACTTAAGGTGGGAACAACTTGCAAACTGGCTTAATCAAGGACAGGAGCCGTATTGTAAAAAGATTTCATGACATCGCTATAGACTTAGAAGTGATAAGAGAAGAGGCTACTGGTAAGCACATTCTTTTGCCAAGAGTCACATTATGACCAGACACAGCTCTACCTTTTAAGATATGCAGAAGGCAATTTCCTGCTCTTTGACTATGATCTGCATTTGTGTCATTTTTACATCTCAGCTGTAGGACAAGGCTGCAAAATGCACATGAAGTTCATACAAAGTTCAGGACACCTAGTATCTGAGTTAGCGTCCACTAACATGAACTGCCCCATTGACACCTCAGCCTATTACTGTAAGTTGGTAAAATCTGAAAGACTCCACTGTATCAGTTACACTGCAGGTTTTGAACATTATTTACAACTATGGAAGAAAGATGTTTACATTTTCAAAAACCAAAGCTGAGTTTCTGGAGGACAAATTAGCCCGTCTTGGGGCTGCATACAGATGTTCATTTCTACTAAGAGAAATTTCTTCTGGTAGACAAACAGCCCTGGAGCTGGACTGTATACACTTTCCTCCATCCCCATGACTAGAGAGCTTCCAGCCAAGAAGCTCTAGACAGCTGCTCCCTGGGCCACCCACATCCTTAGCGGGAACTCATTACTTGTCAGCCATATTGTCTATTGTCTGGCAAGGGGGCAGGCTATCAAGTGGCAGCTGGAACGTGTTGAAAAGCAGCAGCTGTCCTGGAGAGCTGGGAAGGGTTCCTACCCTGGCAGAATGGTGGAACCAGGGAGGGGAAGGGAGGTCTTTGAGCCCCACTCCCAGCCACCAAATTTTTAAATTGTTGCCCTACAGCTCAGTGGTGCGGGCAGCCAAGGAAAGTGAGCAGAAGCCAGCAAAGCCCCCTGCCTCTTCCCAAAAGCAGGGACTGCCAGGTTTGAGGAAGAGGCAGGGAGTAGTGGCTGCCTCTCCCCTCTCCTCCCAGTCCATGGAAGAACAAAGCAGCTGTACTCCACACCTTCAAGACTGGAGTAACTGCAGTCTCAGGAAGGCAGAAAGCCATTCCTCCAAGTCCCCAGGAGGAGTTAAGCCAGAAGAAAGCATATATATGTTCAGGCCCCTGGCAGATGTTACACTTATGCTGTAATTCATCAATTAAACTGTTTTAAATAGTACCCTATGCAAGAGTTTGAGCAACTAATGGCGCAATAAAATGTAAAAACCCACACGATTATTCCATAAAATATGGGACAATGTTTTGGCAGGTTTCCATTGTGCCTTAAATGGAAAGCGTGGCAGGGTCCCTGCCATGCAGCCTGATGCCAGTTGCATGGTACAGCTCTGGAACTGAGGCAGGGACCTATAATCAGCTGATTATCATTCCCAGTCCTGGGACCACACTAGTTCACTGGGCACTAGGCTTCTTGTCAGGGTAGGGGGAGTCCAGTATCATGGCAAGTACTAATGGCATGAATAGGATCTGATCCCAAAACCCCACGTCCTACCATGTCCATATTTTTCCAGCTACAATACGCTTTTTTTCCAAAAACCAGGTGCCGAAGATGAGCGTACATTATATACAGGGATACACAGTAATAGCAGTTTCTGCTGTTTAACCTTGAGCTAGGCAAAGGCAATACCAATAGTAAAGTGAATATGTGATCTACGGGGCACAGAATACTGAGCAAGCTCAGCTCCCTCAACTACTGCTACTCAGCTACTCACAGGGAAAGATCTTTTTTCTTTCATTCTGCCTTTCACAGTCAAAGCGAGTATCTTACTCTGGGGGATATTTTTGTATATTATTTTGTATATTATTTTTGTATATTATAAAATACAGTGTTTTAAGGGTGCCCTAAGAGAATTATTAGGTATAAGTTGCAGGAGGTTCTGCCCCTGCTCTATGCAGCCATTACTTTGGAAAACTTTTTTTCTTCATTCTGCCTTCCAAAAAATAAGGTATGTATTATTTTACAGGGCATGTTGTATGCAAAACAAAAAATATGGCGCTAGAAGGACAACAGTGCTTTGTCTTTTCAAGTGCAATTCCAAGTTATATTTTATTTTCTCCATACAGTTTACTTTCACATCTCAACTGCAACATTATCTATTATTAAGTTATCTGCAAAACCATATGTACAGCACAATTTGCCATTTCACTCCACCTGAAAGATTCAAGTTCTCCATTCTTACTGGAAACTTCCAGCTCCTCTCTTTTGTCCTTTTGTATTACAAAAGTCTTTCCATCATAGCAAAACTGACACCTTTTGAACATTTCCAGCCCTAATTCAAATACAAATTAAAAACCTGTAACAAACTAAAACAATAATGCTTCAAGAATGTGCTTAGAAGGAACATGAACTTTACAATAGAGGATGAAAGCTTAATACTCTTTAGATGGAGATCAGACCTACAGGTTCAAATCAAAACTAGGCACATTTGTGCCACTGCTAGTTGTCCCCTGGGAACGCCCCCGTAACATGCACTCTGGCACATAGCAAGTTGACACAGGTGGGGTAGGGGCTGGTCCCAGCAGCCTTACCTGAGATACTGGGGCCTCCCAGGGCTCCAATGGCAGCGACCTGGGTGTGCAGAGTCCAGCCAGCAGGAGGAGGAGCATGGCTCTGGCTGGCCAGGCTCGTTTCATGCGGCACGTGCTGCCACCACATGCGCTGCCCTACTTTTTTCTTTTTTTTTGGCTTGGGCTTTTTGACACCAGGATCTCCCAGTATCAAAAAACCCTGCCACACTGCAAATCAGCAGAGTGGCAAATATCTGAATGTGTGGCACATGCGGTTTGCTGCACTGCAGATGGGTCTGCAGCACCGAAAACTGTACATGCATGCTTGTCTGGATGCACCCAATATGGCAAGTACTGTACACTGTTAGACAGTCCTGCAGTAGAAGACTGAGGTCATCGAGGGAACCTGGTTTTCTCTGTTTAAAAATCCCAAATTCTCTAATTTAAAAAAAACCCAAAGTCCACATTTTTCCATGAATAAAATTAAATGCCATTATATATATAAGTATCAGTTGAACACAATGTTTTATTGGTATCTTTATAATTTTAAAGCAATTTGGAAGCCTACCAGTGCCTCAATCATTATAATAAAATAAATTCTACATACCTATACATTTTGGCATTTGATTTTGTTTTACCATGGAAAAAAAAAAAATCAGAGCTCCTCCTACCCTCTTCGCTCACCAGGATGTGGGTCCAGCTGCAGCTGTCCCCCCAACAACCTCCCCACCCCTGCTTTGTGGTGCTGATTAGCTCCGATATGCCAGTGCCCAGCCCCTGCTGCTGTTCCTCACTCCTAATCCACAAACCCTGGCCCTGACAGTGCCCCTCACTCCCGACCCACAGCCCTGCCAGCCCTGTCAGTGCCCCTCACTCCCAACCCAATGAGCAAGGACACAGGTGACAGGCTGGGAGCGAGAGGGGCATGTGCCCACCCAAATTTCTGTGTCCACAGTGAGGTGTGGGGCAGCAGCCAGGCAGGAGCTGCCTCTGCAGCCCAGCAGACAGGACCCAGTATGGAAGGAGAGCCGTGCTGCCACGACTGCCAAGATGAGGCTTGGCAGTGGCATGGGAGCACCTCACCTTGGAGGCTATACTAGCACGCCACTCCTTCCCACTGGGCTGCGGAGGCAGCTCTTACCCAGAGCTGGTCCGGCCTAACTGCAGCCTTGCACCCCATTGCAGGCACATAAA